GACTCATAGCGACCCCTTCTTCAGTTTCTGAGGTAGTTTCTCTACAGAAGTAGATTGCCCAACCTTTCTTCTGAGGAGTGGCTGGTGGGTTTGAACCACCAGGCTTCTGGTTAGCAGTCAAATGCCTTAGGCACTACACCACTAGAGCTCCTCACTAATGCCTAGGATATTGATATTTATGCATTCTGTTTAATTTCTGACAACTTCCAATCTTCCTAGATTCATACTTCATACATTCCATATTCTGATTATTAATGGATGTTTGCAGCTTCTCATCTTGAGTCATGCCACATCAGCAAATGGAGGTCCCAAAAGCTTTATTCTATCTAGTCATTAATGTTGGCTCTACTCTGAGGAGGCAGCTCTTCCCCAGTCATATTTTGAGTGCCTTCTTACCTCAGGGGCTCATCTTCTGACACTATATCTGACAAGTTTTAGGGCTATTCTAAAGTTTTCCAGTGTTTCACTACTATTCATAAGGTTTTCCCTGGCTAATTCCATGGGTGGACAGGTTTTTGAGCTAACCTCGCTAGTATTTGAAATACTGGTGGCATAGTCTCCAGCCAAGAGCTCTGGTGGTATAGTGCCTAAGGCATTTGACTGCTAACCAGAAGATTGGCAGTTCAAATCCACCAGCTACTCCTCGGAAGGATGGTTAAGCAATCTACTTCTGTAGTGATACTGCCTCGGAAATCCAAGGAGGGCTTAGTATGAGTCAGAGATGACTTAACAACAACAGCCTCTGACCTCACTGAAACATGCAAGCCACAATAATATGACAAACTGACAAATGAATGAATGTTGGAGGGGGCCACTGGATACATCCAATGACCATGTCTTATTCTTAGCTTTCTTAAGTGAACCACAAAGACTATACTTGGAATTAATTTTTAAATATATCATCACTTTGGATTTTTCTCCAAGGCTGATGTGTGGACTAGTAAATGACCCTAACCAGTTGTATATTTCACAGCAATAACTGACTTTACTGGGCTATTGTAAAATTGGGATATTTATAAATGTCTCTGAAGGAACTCTGCAAAGCTATGTGTGTACCTAACTTTCTACTTAACATCCAATCTATGCTGCTTCCCCTGAATCACTCAAACCTCATCCATTCAACGGATATGAGAGGAATAGGTGATCAAATCATTACTCAGAGTAGAAATTTATAAACACTATGTTTTTGTTTACCATCAGGTCTCATTGAAAACAAAAATATATTGTTTTTTGGATCATTTTGGTCTGTTTCATGTTGTCATTTTCCTTACTTCCTTGACTATTGTGAATGTGTTGAACCTCCAGTGCTTAATATAACCCAGAAAATGTGTTGCAAATCCAAACTGCTATCTGTGAAATATGTTCTGTGTTTAGGCAAATTTTTCTTTTCTTTCTTTTTTTAGCTATTCTAATTAATATGGAGTATGATCTGCTTTACCAGCACTAATTATTTATGTATGTAATTATTTATACCCACCTTTTAAGAAATGAATTAAGACATGAAAAAGTGAGGCAAACATAAAATACTATCAGGAGAATGAATTATAACCAGAACTGCAATTAATGAACAAATTTCAAACTCCAAAGTTTTACATAATTCTTGGAGGTTGGTTATAAATGTGATTGTATACTTTCTAGCAGTCATATGAGAAAAGTAAATTTGATGAGCTACAAGGTGAATTGTTCATAACTTAAAGTAGATCAGCTTTATATGAGTGTGTATGAGTAATGAAGTGGCAGTAGGACCAAGTAAGGTGGTGGTGGAACTGGTGGAACATTTACAACTTCTCAGAGGGGGGCATATCTGAATTCTGTTAATTGGTTCTGATATGATAGGTTCACAGCATGGCTTTAAAAGCACTGAGCTAAAACAAAGGAGCTTTGGTGGTGGTGTGGTGCCTAAGGCATTTATTTGTCTGCTAACCAGATTGGGAGCTCTGGTAGCATAGTGGCTAAGGCACTTGACTGCTAACCAGAAGGCTGGCGGTTCAAATCCACCAGCCACTCCTCGGAAGGAA